TTGTAAATTTGGGTTCAAGTAGTACATAAGGTTGATGGAAACTTGGAGACTGTGCTTACCTGATGAGCTCCAAGAAGCTCCAAGAGGAAATTAGCCTTCGGATAAAGCCAATTTTGTGTTCTCCCAATGCAACCCCACATTCGATGAAATTCCTTTCGTAACAACATACGATATACCCTCTGACTACCTAAAAAGGGAAACGTAAATGCAGCCAACTTTTTATACCATCAATAACGGAACTGCCACATTATTCTACGACATTATCGAACTATTCTGGAAGGGATTTGAATTGACTTGATTGATAGTTCAACCTAGAATGCACATAAGATATCACCTATTGCCATGATTTATTCAGTAGCAACGCAAATTAGTGTGAGGGAGCACTAAAGTGGAATGAAGCAATATATGACAACTTAATACGTCAATCCTCTGCCCAGAAGTCCACGGCAGCGTTCTTCATCAACCAACCAGACCTAGCATATGAGTGACCTTCGAAAGAAAAATCACTCTCCGGTTAGGTTGCTTCAATTATTTTGGCAGCTATTTTAATCGTCTTCTAAGAAAGAAATACCTAGTAGATGATACTTTTTGGTGTATGTGGGCCTTTCTTCCTGTGATCAGAATGTGAGGACACGACTATCTGACCCCCCGGACTAACTTTCTACTAAGGATCTCCTTGAAAAAAACGCACACCTCTAATATTGCCTAATTTGGTTTTTTCGAGATAGTTTTGAAGGATACTTAATATAGATGCCTATACACTTCGTTTTTTGCGATTGATATGCTCTGTGTACAATGAATCGGCTTTGCAGCTGATCACTACTGCCAAGAAAACAGTCCTATCACAAATGACCATGTGGAAAAGCTCAATCCATGATATGTTCACTTGGGAAATAGTATATTCACACAAATTTTTTCCATAGATTTCTCAAAAAGTTCCCATGGATCAATAGCTCACATCTTTAATACAACCAACGGATGTAAATGCACCTCAAAGTATGCCATGGTTGGCCGAAAAATTTAGATCTTATTACACTCGAAATGCGAAAATGTCACTCTAACATTACTGGGTGAAACCACGTTGCTGATAATCAAGTAAGCTTGACGCTCATCAACTGGGACCGACTTCCAAGGTAGTTTCCTTCTTCAGCCTGCATACCCATTTGAGTCCTTTAATCGAATCTACTAAGCAGTTAGCTTCTTAAATAAATATCCGAACGTCCGCTCACATTTCTGTCGCTTCTCCATTGTTGTTCTATATTGTGTGTGATATGGAAGTTAATTCGATCGACAGCGGCACAGCCTGATCCACCTGCCCAACTGTAGCACTCTCCTGAGCCTCCCCCACACGGTCGACCTAGCTACAAGATGTCAGATGTGTCCGCCAATGTGACACATGTTCATCTGTGTCACACCTTCAGTTGCACGATGGCCAAATTAGGCTCTCAGATTTGGTGTGCGCATGCCCGCACATACGTACACAAAAGTTTGCACACAGTTGTCGTTTTGTTGTGCCCATATGTACAACCGAAGCCTGTTTTTCTGATCATTTCGAAACAAACTTCACCCCTTCCATTTGGGTTGGACAGTTTTATATCGTGATTAAATAGAACCAGACAGCAGTTTGGATACATGGTCTATTCCCGGGTTTCGATACTGTATATCTTTTTCAACTCCGTGTCGTCGTCATGTTGGGTCGCCACAGCGACCATTACCACAGAAGACAAGACAATAGTGAGTCATGATGCATCGTATCGTGTAGACGGACAAATGATGAATGTATACACTAATGGACAACAAATCGATGAATAACACTTACACCAGCTGTGAGCCGATTCGGATGTGCCGGTGTAGCGTTCACCCTTCGCTCGTAAATTTACACGCTCGTATGTGTATCGTTGTATCTATTTTTCTTTTGCAAAGGCATTTGGTTGAACGTCAGGGATAGACGGGCATCTGGCTGACAGGCAGCATTTTATAGTACAGTGGTCTCACAGGCGAAATTTGTCACCAGGATGACAGTACACACGTTCATCTAGTGAATTATCAAAGGGATGCTTCGCCACTTACTCCTGCAGTGATGCTTTTTTACCACCCACTAGTTTTAACACCATAGAAAACAACATCACCCGTTTATGGTGTTTATCACCCCGTCTGCTCGGTCTTTTTTGAGTGCTAGCTAGTACACTTTTATGCGATCTTAATGGGCGGTGACATATCTGACATGCGGTCATATACGACGGGGACACCTTGATTCACCACTCTCGGATTGGGTACCGTGGAGGCGACAGGATCAAGGGCGTCCAACTCGGGGTGGTCAAATAGAGCTGTATAATAGCGCTCGCTTGATATTCAAATTGCAAATCTGATTTAGAGGACTAACTGATTTTGTAATAATCTGCATTACCAGTGTGCAGTAATTTCTCTCCTCACTACACGATGATGACGTCAAGATTGTGGCAGAATGATGCCAATGAGAGTAACGTGGATATCGCTACATCAGCTATCAGTAATTAGATGAAGTCCAGACTCCAGGGTCCACCATTTTTTCCTCGCATTCCTTCGTTGGATTATTGAAATTAGATCCAGACCCAGGATAGCCTATCCGTGGGTCACCGGTCAGTTGTCGTAGTTCATTTGAGGAAGTGCACCCGTCGATCACAAAACCACTGGTTTACAAATCTCCACCTCGGGAAGAGTCGGTTTAGTATTCAGTAAAACAACTGACTGCGAATGTATTTCATTCATATCTCCATTTCTTTGACTTTTGTTTCTCTGAAGTGTATGTACCCCCGATTTTATACTTTGCCACGTGATTTCCGGTACCATATAAATTTGTGATGTATATGCCAAGAGGAACAGTCACAGAAAACGCTTTATTTGTCACCTTCATTGTTTCTTATAAATATTTCAGCAATTTAGATTGTGACATTATATGTAATTTAAAGTATAATATGTAGTTTTTGTGTCAGTCTTCCCCGCTCGTTTCCTTGGTTTCCCGTAAGCAGGGTATTACTCCACTATCCTGATTTTTTTTAATTTTGGACCTCTCAGACTGTTTTTGGTATCTTCATTTGTCGGCCTCATATTGAGAATTATGCCACAAAATGCCCAGAATGTCTTTTCTGCCTTCTCTGATGAATTCCATAGACGATGAATCAAATAAGTCAGGGCTTTGCGAGAGGTTCCGTTGGCTCATCTAATCCCGATGGGTCATTCCTGTTGGTAGCTAAGTGAAAACTCAACAGCAATCGTCGAAGCGTTTTCAGCAACCACTCACCTTGTGAGTGGTTCCCTTTATGAGTCGTGTTACTTTAAGGTGAGATTTTGTTGTCAATGAGACCAGTTTAAGCTGAAAAGACGAGAAGCAGTTTACAGCTGTTTCATCCTTATTGGGAGAAATCAGCAATGCGCATCTCACGAAACTCAGAGGTTTTCGAACCCGTAACCGTTAGTGTTTGAACATTTGACCTTTCGGCCTCAAGCAGCAGCGTGATTAGCATTCATTAATCTCATTAGCTTAGCTCCACGCAGGGTTATTCTAGCTCACCATCGATTTAACTAGTCATAGTTTCAGCGACCACTGACTATCCATATACCGTTAATTGTTTATCCTCTCCTAGTTACTACGTCGTAACAAACTCTTCCACTGGGAACGACTCGCCATCTCTCGATGGGTTAGAACGCTCTAAATGCTTCCTAGTTTTATCCTGCCTATGCCAGTTAACTACTGTATGGTACGTAATTGTTATTATAAGAGATGGAGTGAAGATTTTGTCCACGCTGGCGATAACCCTATCACAGCCGACGCAATATCTGAAAATGAGCTTCACCACAAAAAAAAACAGAATCATTGTAGACACTGATGCATCCAGCCATTGTCAGTTGGGTCTAAAAGTCCCAGAGTAGGAGCTAGAAAAGAACGGACAGAGGATGGACCTGGTGCTAGACTGCGGCAACCATCTCCAACTCCTCACTCGGACAGTCCTAAAAGAAGTCCTAATGAAGACAGACGAAAACAAGACATGCTTCTCAGTTTAGTGAAGTTGGGACCTTTATTCGGCGGGTAGCTGTTACTACTACTGCCTTACTTAAGTATCTCCGCACTCCAGGACATTTCTGTCCTGTGTGGAACTTTCTTGAGTCGCGTTGCTCATGCCTTCGGCACCAGACTTCCGATATTTGCTGTTGAAGCGATTTTGACAGATTTGGCACTGTGCCCGAAAACCTGAACCGTGAGCAGGTGGGTTCGTGTCAGACAACCATAAATAAACTATTCACTTGTCGACAAGCCCACTTATTGGCGACTGAATACATGAACGGTCCATACGCTATGGACGAGAATACTCCGGGAAATGTTAAAACGCATTCTATAATTACAAATCAATAGTGGAGCATGATAATGCTGTACATAGATCCATACTACTCATTTTTGAATACTTCCCCTGTGCATTGGAAAGACGATGGACATTTGTGTTTAACTAACGCCCAAAATTGATTACAGATTTGTCCAGGCGGACTAAGAATTGATGTACAGGCACGTTTTCTTCTGATATGGGCGTTACTATTCTACGTCGAGGGACTGTTCATTTGGGCAAGATGGAATGACAAACTCTTAAAAGCATTTTAGCATTTGTCTGTGTGAATTTTTCATTGACCGTTGGAGTACCTGTTTGCCCGATCACAGTGTTGTTGAATCCGTTAGTTAAAGCACATGTTTACATTAACAAGCCGCTGCTGAATGACTGAGTACCCCATTCATTCCCAGACTCGTCTCTATAAATATGTACCTGATTGTTGACATGTACAGTTTATAAACAAATGTCACAGTGGCTGTGTTGTCTGTTCCAATTTAACATCCTCCTCATGTCAAATGGTGTGTCACCCCTTTCCTCTGAGATGTTCGGGCTTTCATGTGTGCAGATTTCTTTGTCTGCCACGCTCCAATGATAACGGCAGTTATACATTTTCCGTCTAATCTTTTCCCCTCCCTCTGGCAGTTGTCCGGCGCGGTCCTGGTTCGGATCTTCATTGTATGAGTCCGCTGATAAGTGCATATGACGAGTTTCCGGACAGTGCATTCTCTGCGAGCAGTGTACTGCAGAACAAGACAGATTTTCAACCATATCAGGCGAGGTAAGTTGTGTTTGCATGCAAAACATGTTTGTGTTTCTGTTCCGTAAAGCGCGATGCTGGTGTCAGTGCTGTGGTTGTGGCGGTCTATCCCAATCCGCTCATGCTGTCACCTAAGCTTAGCAGGTATTCAGGTTGTTGCAACCTAGTAAGACGAACAGATTTCCATCTCCAGTTATTTGGATTGATGTATTTCCTGTCCAACTGAGATTAAACAAACGTTCACATGGCTACTTAGTAGCTGATCATGGTTAATGAATGCCTAGCGAACTGGTGTAGCTGTTTAGCCGACACTTCAGTTGAAGGTAACTATTTTTCATTTTCAACAAAGAGCACTTATTACATCTTCAAAATAAGCGTACACTGGAATTTCCTACTTGTTGCAATTCCTTTAGTACAGCGAACATTTAGTCGCATTGGACAAGAATCGAGAGTCTGGAGATCTTACACGTGACGAAACAAGCTCGAATTCAGCAATTCCCTCCCTCCTTTGGTGTGGATTACCTGACTGAAACAACGAAAGATTCTTGTCTTGCTATGAACCGCACGCAATATTAGCTTACCGTTTCGTCAACCCATTGAGTTTTACAGCTCTAGACGGTGAAGCCAAGCTGGAGTAATCTGTGTACAAAATTGATGGAGGAAATATTCCATTCTATTGCAATCACATCCTCTCTGTCCACCTGCCTTGACCGTCACATGTAAAGGTGCAGATAAGATATCATCGGTGTTGAACTTGGTAATGTTCGAATGAATACAATATCGATGAAAATTTCAAGGTTGAGGGCAAGATGGCTCAGTGATTAGAGCGCGGACTTACTGACCGAATGGTCCGTGGTTCGAACCCGGCCTCTGCCTCTCGACTTCCCCTGTCTAGGCTTGGGCAACCTGGCAGTAGCTTCTTTCGAGTGACATGGAAGTTAGGCACTGAAAGGGTGCTACAGATGAACTGTTTTTTAGTTTTGAGGGAGCTGAATAAGCTAGCAGCGGCGAACTGACTGTAAGTGGCCCCAGTTTGTAGGAAACTGCTAAAAACACAACACCCATTCGGGTTGTTGCTAGTTGAAAGTGCGATAGACAATGTGTCAAACCCATAGAAAATAATTAACGAGGCAAACCTTATTTAGAAATCATCTGAAAAGGCGGCTCTTCGTGGTGAAAACCATTAATACCCCTTTTACTGTATATTATGCTTTCTTGATTTGGTGTGTGGTGTATTGTCTTCGCGCACAGGCAGCTTGGGCGCCAACAGATTGTTTATCTTGCACACTGTCCAGACATGTGTCTGTTTCTGTGTCCTTGGACCGTTAAAGTTGGCAGGTGTCGTTGTGACTGATTTTTTTGAGAAAAACAAACATGTTTTTCAGCGGTGGTAAATAATTTTGTTCAAACTCAACTGTGAACCATAAGGCCACCAAAGCACGCGAACTAAGATCAAGCTGATTAGTTAGTTCATTGAGCGGATTGTTCGATCGATTTTGACTGGCTTGTGCCTAGTCTTGTGTAGAACTGCGTTCTCCATGTGTGGTTTACTCTAACTCTAGCATTATCTTGCTTTTGGAACGGGCGAAATAAAAGACTTGAAGCAGCGATTTGTATTAAAATACTGAGCTCATCATGAAGTAAACATCGCACGACCAGCAATCGTTTGTCATCTAATTGATTTGTGGGTTTCGGATTCCTTGGCTGAAGTTGCCACTCATGTGTGAACGGATCTTTGCGCCTGTTAAACACGCGCTCTTTTCGTAGTTACGAATGCTAGATCACTTCCTCAGCTTATTTTCATCTCTTCTATCCTGTTGTCCCGTCCTTAAGAGACCATTTTCGAGGAGAATACCTTGCACAGTGGAGTACTTCCAGCTGTCCTAATGAAATGCATTTCGATCGCAAAGCCTTTCCCAGGAACTAACAGCGTGCAGAGAAGTCTAGGCTTGATCGTGACTCTAAAATGTCCTCTTGAGAGTGATGGCGAAGGGAAGTTGTAGCTCTACTTCATTGTGGCTTACTCTTACGATATATGACAAGTTTACAGCAGTAATCCAAGCTGCATATTTGATAACGAAATTCACGTTCATTGCAGCCTGGGACACGATTTCGAAATTGTTATGAGACAATGTTTTGAACACCCGATTTTGAAAAGTGCTTTGATTCTGAAAGTACCCCTTTCAACAAAGCTGATGCTCGGGGGTTGCCTTTGGGACAGCAGTCTTCGTAGCAACTATGTGCCCTCAACTCGGAATTGCAATATGCTTTTCATGTTACAAGTTAGACTTTGGGCACGTACGGTATTCCTACTTCTAAACAAAGATTGATTTTGCACCGACTGGCGCTCACAGATATACCCATTACCCGATCAGTGGGTATGTATCGCTCATGCTGTTGTATCGTAATAATACCCATATTACACCTCTGTCAGTGGCTCGCATATGAATGCCTCCATATCAGCAACCTCCAATGAAAATAATCCGATGGTCTTGAGGTGAACGAAGAACACCAAATGGCGCAACCTATAAGGCTGAGTGCAAAATGGGTCTACCATAGGACAATTGTTTAGCACTTGAAAGCGTAGTGTCTCGGATGAGTATAGCGGATTGGAATGCGATTGAAAGTTACAATGATGTGGATGATACTTACTGATTTTATGCGTATCATAAGGTTCTCCTTACCTCCGAGGTCATTTGAAGCCTTGAGGTTGCATACTAACTGGCTTTCTTCATTTGATACCCAATGAGTGCTCTCCTACACCATGCGGGCGACATCCATCCCGTAATTCACACGCTTCTTAGGTGATTCTTACCAACTTCTATCCTTAAACAAACAAGAACTCCGCTGACTTCAATTGATGATAATTAATGATGCACCATAAGTTTAAGAGTCACAAGCCAATTTCATAACCAAAAACCTGTCTTGTTCTGCTCCCGGCCGAGTGCGCTTGTAACCAATTTGAAACAGCAAACACAAACCCACGAATACGTACAAACACACAAACACACTGCCCTACAACCCGATTCATTCATTCATATTGAGTTCGCATCTCAGCAAACGTTCGCATACTTCTCGCGCTCTGCTTCTCCATTGATGAAGCGTGAGTACGCATGTTGGTGTGAGCACTGTTCACCAGCAATGGAGTGGTGGTGGTGATGCTACGAATGAATGTTTACAGTGGATTGGAGCTCGGGCACTCCAACTTGTCAATCATCACGCAACGTTGGTTTTCGTGCGGGTTCGTTAGTAGAAATAAATATGTGCGACTGTTCCGACTAACTTTCGCTCTCTTTTTGTTTCGGGTTTACGATTCTCACCAGAAAATTCTAGTGCACTGGGGTATGGTGATATCCGGTTTGACACGACTTAGTCGCTATCGATCAGTTATGTTTGAGTGTTAACTGTAGTCATGTTACAGCTTAACTTGGACGCTAACTATATCCCATAGAAAGTGACAAGAAGGTGGTGAAAAATAGCTTTTTCAAAATCAAGTATTTATTTGGTAATAATGATCATCGTATACCATTTTAAAGTGATTCGACACCAATTCTGATGGGCGCAACACCTTTGACTGCTAACCTAAATCTACCTTGATGGTCCCGACAAAGTTTGGGCACTGTATACCCGACAATGATAGCTTCCAGTGGAACATCCGTCTGACCGTCTGAAGTCCGACCTGAGTTTACCAACTGCGCCTCAGACCGAGTGCTCATGAAGCCAGTCTTTTATGGACAATTGTTTAGGCCAGCGAATATACACTCATTTGCAAACTAATTTAGTTCTTTCGAGAGACTCACCTGGAACCCAGCTGAATCTCTCGTTTATGCTGTTCTCAAGGCAACTGAATGTGCTGCACCAGGCCGCCGCATGTTTCAGTCGCTACGATATTCGAGATATCGCGATACATGTATATCTTTGTAATGTACTACTCATAAGATTGCTGAAAATGCTTCAGAACATCACAAACGAGAGATTCAGCTGGGTTCCAGGTGAGTCTCTCGAAAGAACTAAATTAGTTTGCAAATGAGTGTATATTCGCTGGCCTAAACAATTGTCCATAAAAGACTGGCTTCATGAGCACTCGGTCTGAGGCGCAGTTGGTAAACTCAGGTCGGACTTCAGACGGTCAGACGGATGTTCCACTGGAAGCTATCATTGTCGGGTATACAGTGCCCAAACTTTGTCGGGACCATCAAGGTAGATTTAGGTTAGCAGTCAAAGGTGTTGCGCCCATCAGAATTGGTGTCGAATCACTTTAAAATGGTATACGATGATCATTATTACCAAATAAATACTTGATTTTGAAAAAGCTATTTTCACCACCTTCTTGTCACTTTCTATGGGATATAGTTAGCGTCCAAGTTAAGCTGTAACATGACTACAGTTAACACTCAAACATAACTGATCGATAGCGACTAAGTCGCGATCATCTTACAAAACTGGAAATTCATTCAAAATTGGGAGGTCTGTCCCAAAAGTCCCAGGTTCAGTTACCGAAGTCCAATTTTCATGCCGGCGGATACTACAAATTATGCATTTTGGCGAATTCCATTTGAAATCCTGTCCCGGTACCCGAGTAGTGTCCGATGGACTCAGCTACTTCGAGACCGGTCGGTGGAATCGCTATTAAGTTTGCACTGGTTTGTGACTGTTGATCAAATGGATGCAATCCTGTGGCAAGAGACTTCGACAGCCTAATGGGAGCATTTCTGCTGGTACCGCGAAGTTATTCGTTACCTAGCATCATAAGATAGCAACAGGGCGTCGGTGGGGTGGTCATATAAATCACCCACGATTGCTCAGTGCGCCTCCATGTGAATAGCACTGATTGACAGTCTGTGTATGAATTTGGTTGATATCAAGTGAGTACATGTAATGTTTCTTGGCTGACTTCGGTCATCACAGATAAAAAGACTGTAGAAACAGCGCGAAGTTCTTGTTTACCATAGACATCTTTCCGACGTGTGCTATCCTTCACAATGAGAAACAAACCTCAACCGTACTGGTTGGTTTGTAACTTGGACTCCCTATTTTTGGAAGTTAAAACTGTATTTTTTTTATGCACCGTTTCGTTTATGGTGTTTCTTCTATACTCCTTTACTAACACAATCAGCGTCACCACCCGTCAAAGATGATGCATGAGCGGGCAATCGACCGCTGTCTCGACTTTTCCATTAAGTCAGCACACTAGTTTAAACTACCGATTTGTTGGTTTTGCACACGGCTTGGTGATTATGTTCAAACGTCACACGGACCGTCGGCTTGTTTCGCAGTGTAAACCCATAGAGCATTCCAGTAAACACTATCATGCAGCGCACCGGTGAGGCGTCGATGCGCGCGAAGGTAGCCGTGTTTTCAGCATACTGCTTCCCGTAGAATGGTCACAGCTTTCTATGTATTCTCTGTCGCAAATCAATGTGAGTCATTCTATCGACATTTGCCGGGTGGTCGGGTTTATGGACCGTCTAAGTACGATCGACTGACAACCAGCAGTTTTTTCCGGAATCCACTTGCTCCTTGGATTATTATATTAATTTGAATAGACTGATCAAGTGCCATTAATGTTGACAGGATTGTAAATGAGCCTACCATTTTGGAACATCTGAACATCTGATACTGCACCGAGTGTGTTCCCGAATTCCAGTTCTTCTGATTCACACATTGTGTCAGATGGAGTTGAAAGGTTTTTTCCATCAGGAGAAAACAAAACAAATCCCGTCGATCATGTTTTGTTTATTGGTGATGTGAAGAAGTTTGTTCAGTTTCTTTGTAATGTACTACTCATAAGTTTGCTGAAAATCCATCGACAGCCCACGACCGGTTTCGCCCTTCTTGGGGCTCATCAGGTAGGCGCAGTCCCCGGGTTTCCGCCAACCGGTCGTGGGCTGTCGATGGATTTTCTGCAACCTTATGAGTAGTACATTACAATACAAATATATACATGTATCGCGATATTTGAAATATCGTAGCGACTGAAACATGAGGTCGCCT